TAGTTAAAGTTAAGAAGAAGAAGAAAATAAGTGTGAGGCAGGGCTAAGAGCCCGGTACAAAACACACTGAGTTAGAGTTTTCCAACTTTTCTCAGCTTTGTATTAATAAATCGACAAATCACGTTTTAGTTTAAAGGTGAAACGCCTTTTCTACCGGGGGTGTGAGACGATTCTCTTCCGCTGCTTCTTCTACACCATCTGCTGTGCTCCCTTCTACCGTCCCTTTCGGTGAGTTCAACCAGCCGTACATCCCATCACGGCCTATGAACGATGCCGAGTTCTCTCAGTATTTAGCATATAAACCTTCCTCTCTAGGTGAGGATAAAAACGGTTGGCACTGGTATGCCATGCCTGACCCTCTACACCATACCTTCTACCCGATGTTATATAATATCGTTCGTTCTCTGTCGCCAGGGGTCCACCGTCTCATCTTCCGTACTGAGAGAGTAGGTCTAGACTCTATTACCTTAACTCTTATGCCGAGTATGCATGTAAGCCGCGACTCTAATGTGCGGGATATCATGTCGGCCGTATTCCACCGCTGGATGGGTCTCCTGGATGAGTACGGAGTATCACCCGATACGAGCCTATCCGCAGGGATTTCTCCTGCTATCGAGGGGCTCACAGAGAATGTTAAAGATTTCCCTAAATCAGCCTCCCTGAAAGTTCCTCCTCTCGAAAATGGCCTCTAGATTATGTAACCAAGCCTCGGGGGTCTGAAAGAGCGTTCTAATTAAAAATCGCCCCTTTTAAGGGTATTGAAAAGTTTAGGATTAATTCTAAGGTTCAGGGAACCGAGCACCCTATTGGACTCGAACCAATAACCCTCGGTTTCGAAGACCGTAGCTCTATCCGTTTGAGCTAAAGGTGCTCTATATCTAACTGTAGGTCTACTACCCACGATACCGATAGAGTTAAATAAATCCCATAGGGGCTCCTGGCGTCCCGCCGAGCGACCGGACTACCCTAGTAGTGTAGGGCGCCGGTCGACCTACCGGGGTAGACCAGGAGCCAGAGCTCGCGGAGTATCCCGGGACGCCGGCCTTCTAAGAAATAGAGCTAGGCTATAAAAGAAGTCTAATGTCAGATGAGTTGATGATGTTGATGCTGAAAGCATCACCAACAGCATGCGATCTAAGATCGCATGACCATCACTATCGCTGCCTACACCTAAAGGCTCAATAAAGTAAGAATTAAAGGCCAATAGCGAGCATAAGAGAATTACTAAGATGGCTACTACTATGAAGAAAACAAGAGAACACAGAAGGTACCCGAAAGCTAAGTCGTTACCCTGACCAGTGGGGGCAGTAGGATGCCAGCAACATTAAATTGTTCTTTCTTTGCCTTTTAGGCCTTTTACCGTCTTGCTCAGGACTTAAACTCGTGGATTTTT